GAAAAGGTTCATAGAGTTGATTAGCCAACAATTTCTGACTACATTTTCAAATATATTTTCTTGTGAGACCTATTGCTTCAAAAGACAGCAGGCTTGTCAGAGGAGTGGGAGTGAAGCTTAGCCATAGCTGGGAGAGTGGCAGTCCCAACTGGTCGACATAATGGGAATGTACAAAGAGGTTAATCTTCTTCAAGGAAACAAAATGGAGTGACTAGGAATGTATGGAAACTGTTTTGACATAAAAAATATCACATGTTCGACTAATGGTGTAAACATTAGGAATGTTCCAGTCAGGCTGGACCTGAAGAATCCAATAAAAAGAACTGAGGGGAGGATTTTGTTGCAAAACAAGGAAAGGAAATCTTTGAGCTCACTTGGATAACAACATCAAGGATTTATCTTCTTCTTAATGTCTTCATGTTCTCATCAACATTTTCACGAGCACATCACCACATGATTTATTTAACAAAATGCCAGGTGATAAGGTTATCATCCTCCAAGTCAACAGAATTAGAGTCTACAAGAAGTACAACATATCAGCTTCCAAGCTTCCTCGCTTCCAAGCTTCCTCTCTTCAGAATATGTAGATTACTGATCTGACCTATAAATAGGCAGACTCTACAAGCTGGAGTGATGTATCACATTCCTTTTCAGGAGCGACACAAGGAGGTACAAAATCAAGAGCCCAGCAAGAGCTTTAGGGAGAATTCCTAACATCAAAAGAAAGCAGAAATGTTAGCAAGATTCAGGAAGATGATGCCACAATGTCATCAACGACCATGTCTACTGGAATAATCGATTGGGAAAATAGTATCATCGATGACAGACCAACTCACTGGATTCATGACGTGAAAGAACAGTACCGTAATTATTTTCTTTGTATATTCCCATTCGCCCATCCTCTCCGACTTCCATTCTTGCAGCTACATCTATTCATCACCACCAGTCATCTGATGAAGCCTGCCATCACTGTAGACAATAGTCTCATTCAACAAGGAAATCTGAATGTGTTACAGAATTGGTTTAATGATATAGCATTTGGGAGCCATCTCTTTAACTGATAGAGAATTCAGTTATCCTTTCTCTTCATTTTATAGGAACGAAGAGCTTTTGGTCTGCCCCCTCCTATCGAACCATGTACTTTAAAATACCTGGAAGGGTTCTGCCAATGCTCGATCCTGCATCCTGCACTTGGACAGGACTTGCGTGGAGGAAGATTCTCAAACAATGTTTTTATAAAGCATAAGGCCAGGCCATCTCTTCATTCACTATGCATAACAGATAACAGCTCATATGTCCCTTTAATTCATTCTCTAGGAATGATATATATGAAGTATATCAGGTCATCTCTAATAATAAGAGAAACAATCGAGCAAGGCTTAGATGAAGTAGGGCAGATATAGAGAGCTTTGTGAGAAGGTGAGAAGGCGGGGTCAGGTGGAATGAGGAGAGGGAGAGGGAGAGAGAGAGAGAGAGAGAGAGGGGGAGAAAGAAGAGAGAGAGAGAGAAAGAGAAGAGAGAGGGGAGAGAGATAGCGAGATAGAGGGTTAAGGAGAGGGAGGGCCTGGGGCTGATCAGGTAAGTAGGCCTATAAATATCTTCTACAATATTATAGGGATGGGAGCAAAATTATTTTGGTGAATATACAGGCAAATGCTAAAACATGTTTCTTATCATGCGGGCTCTTAGAAACTTGTACCATCTGTTCAGTACCTAACCTTTTGTTTGATGAGTCAGAGTAATTTAGGTGCCATCCAGCTTCCAGGAGAGAAGTCAGTGAATTCAGACAAAAGCTTCTTTCTGCATCATCAGATCATGGACCACACTTGGGAAAGTCAACCATGAAGCAGAACATCAAGGAGAACATGGGTGAGTGATTCTCAGATACCTCTTAAAAGACTTTGGTTTCTTCTTGGCCTTTACTTAGGATATCCTACCTCTTAATATTTTTCACTTTTTTCCTCCCTTGTTTCCTTTCTTCTCCTTTCTCTTGTCCTTTGCTTTTCTGTTCTTCTTCTTGTTTTCTCCCATTCATTTCCTTACCTTAAACCCTCTTACCCCATTCATTTTCCTTGAATCTGTCCATTATGTGGCCACTCTGTCAAGATTGAGTAGAGTGACATGTAAATCTAGACAAGTCAATTCCTACATGTGTCAGAAAAAATTCTGTGAAGAAACGTTTTGATCAGGTCAAGTGTGGTGCATTTCAGATGCTCATATGCATGTACATGTACACATGTAAAACACAATGCTGCTTGTTACCGAGTTAAAGATGAAGTTGAGTTCTGGTCATGCGATTGCATTGTGAAAGAAACGGTGTGGAACCGACCAGAAAAGGTTGATCATCTAGCATATAAGAATTTGTGTGTATTGCAAGGTTCTGGAATCATCAAAATGATAGGAAATTTGGCCAAGTCTTGGTAAAGTTACAAACACTGTACACAGAAAGATGTATATGGGACTACACGAACACGTGGCGTAAAAAGCCGCCCCCCCCCCCCCCGATTTTTACGATGTTACATGCATATTTAGAATATGAAGGCATTTGAAGAGCCATGCTTTTCAGGGAACATGTCTTATCTGATGTTCTTCCACACTTGCATAATAAGAATGAGTAACGCTCACAAATTATTTTTCACCTCTTCCCAGAACTCAACCTTCTCTTTAAACACATGAAGAGGGAATATGTAACACATAATTACCTCTCCCCATACAATAGGACTCCTTCTATATTATCACTAAAAGTTGGAGCTCTTGCGATGTTGAAATCACGCAAAATCGTGATCGACATGGATAAAAATTGTTAGCAGATCTGTTTCCCCTACAAGGTAGACCTATTATATACTCCCTATTGATATAGAAAATTATTGAAAGGCTCCACAATAATGCAGCCTTATACTGCTGAATTATAGCATTATCAGGTGGGAAATTACTGAGATTGAACAATGATAGCTAAAAGTAGCATCAAGCAAAATGAATGTTAAAGCTAACAGTCATTAAAGCTCATCAATGGATCATGAATTGATGTTGGTCCTGGAAAGCATGAGACAACGACTACCCAACTAGAGAGTCAATTCTGGATTACTGCTAGTGGGATCTCCGTATCAGAAAAATCTCGACTAAATATTCTAAGAGCACACAGTAGTTTTATATGGAGCAGAAGGTAAACTGCTCATTATGATCAGCATCAATTGGATCATTCATTTTAGAAGGAAAATATTTCTGAAAACAAAAATGCTCATTCCAAATAATTCCTGTGTACCAGGAATATGGTGCAAAGAAGGTTATAGAAATTCTTTTTACAAATGAATGCCAACTATGTGAATCTACAACAGCTACAATATCCCATGTTGTCATTTTCCCCCACCACAATAGTCTTTAAACAGCTCCCCCTTTCAATCTTGGACTACACCAGTTATCACCCCTTCCCCAAAGTCCATCTCGGTATGGATAAACTTCAATCCTCCTCTAATCAATGCTAATGTTAAGGTGCATAATTTCAATCCCCCAACCATTTTTGAATGCACAAGTTCAATCCTGTATCAATCTTTGGATGCATTCATTCCACCCTCACCCCAGCCACTTTTTGGGTTACAAAGATTCCAGTCATTTTGGGATGCAGGGGTTTAATTTGCCCTTTCCATCTTAAGATGCATAAATTTGAATTAATTGCCCCAACCCCAACCTCTATTATGCCTATAAATAAAAAAGATGTTGTATTGCCCTTAGCGACCAACCCAAAAATGTTGAAATCGACGGTCGGCTTTTTAAAGAGGTTTATTTTTTTAAACTATTTTCTTATAAGAAAAAAATGTATTGAAGCATTAAAAACTGCAAAATATCAGCCCAAAGAGGGAGTTTAAAAAAAAAAAATTCTGACCGACCGACCCATGTTTTGGTACCTAAAGGGCAGTACAACATCTTTTTTAGGCCTTATGAGATGCATAAATGTCAATTTCCCTCCCAAAATCGATTTGAGGATGCAAAGTTTTCAATCCCCTCCTATCTGCCATCAATCTCTGGATGTAGATCCCCTATATCCAGCTTGGGTTGAACAAATTTGAACCCTAAACCATTTTGGGGAGCACAATCTCCACCCCAAAATAAAATTAAATAAAATGCATTAGGAAACTATCTAAATGATGTGAATTACAAAGACTCACTAGGTAATGTTTGTTTGAGGGTGATGGAATAATCACCAGGTTTTCAAAGTAATAAGACCTTCTTGTCTTCTCTGAATGAAGTGCAAAATCAATGTAACTAAAATAAATGAGATCTGTGGCAACGAAAAAAAAAAAAAAACTACATGTAGACATAACACTCTCTATGCCCTAATACGGCTACCCGTAAACACAATTTAAAATTAGTGTAATTTCTCTTCCTTTGGTTTTAGGAGTAATTCCTCTCAATAACAGGGGAAATGTAAACAGCTAGTGCAAGTTAAATTGATTACCTCCCGGTGTACTTAAGTGAAGTCTATAGCTTCTTAAGGTGAATGATAGGTGACTTCTCTTGCAATTATTTCAATTTAAGTTTATAGAAACATGTCAGTTTTGGAACCTCCTCATGTCAGAGCAAACAGGTTGCCATAATGTGAAATAGTTTCTAGCAAACAATGGTTTGATGCAAAACTTCACACTATACAGATAAAATTCCCTCAAAGACTTCCATTGGGTGTCTGTATCATGTATGGTCTGGGTTCTTGGCACTGTCCGATAACAGTTGCTGGTTTCCTGATCTAGCATTTATTGTCACTTTCTGACCCCAAAGGCAGTGGGGGTAGATATCTAACTCCTCTTACATCAAATACTTCCTTCTGCCTTTCTTGGCACTGTTGGAGTTTCTCATAGACTTCATCACGGTGTGGTGACTGATTAACCTTCATGGGTAGGTTACTCCTGAACTTTCTCCCCTGTAGTAGTTCAGCTGGTGATGGTAAACTACTGTCAATCGGGGTAGTTCTCAAACATCTTCAGTTTCTTTAGGATTGCTTTGACTGTCTAGATTGCCCTCTCTACAAGTCCTTTGCTCTGTGGATAATGAGGACTTGATTTCACACACTGAATATTCCAATTCTCTGTGAAACTCTTGTATTCTCGACAGGAGAATTGTGGTCCATTGTCGCTAACTATCTTCAAGGGTATGCCTTGCTCACTGAATATGTTCTTTCGGATTCGCACAATAGTCGAGCTGGTGCAACCACCTCTGACCTTCCTCACAAAGGGAAACTTAGACCGGTAGTCTATGACGATGAGATACTTGTCACCTTCAAAGTGGAACAAGTCTGTTCCAACTGTTTCCCACGGATGATGGGGTACTTCATGCTGAAGTAGTGGCTCCTTTGACTGAGCGTTCTGTAACTCATTGCATGCTTGGCAAGAGCTCACTATCTGTCCAATTACTTTGGACAATCCATCCCAGTAAACACATCTTCTTGCCTTGAGTTGTGTCTTTGTCATTTCTTGAAGACCTGCATGAAGACTCTGTGTCACTTCCTGCTGCATAGGCTTGGGTATAAAGATTCTGTCCCCCTTCATAATGAGACCATTTTCTACTTCCAAGGAATCTCTGCACGACCAGTAGTGACGCAGTTCTTTGGGAACTTCACGTCTTCGGGTCAGCCAGTTAGGATTACCTACTTAAGCACTCTCAAGCTTCTGCTAGCTTCTGTCTCTTCTTGTAGCTGTCTTAGCTTGCTGGGAGACATGTAGATTGCATGGATGGTTTTGTCAAATTCCATGGTAGGTTGCTTCTTTGGGTAGATACTTGAAAAACCATCTCTTTCTGGCTTGTATACAAGCTCGAAGTCGTATGGTTGCAAACGGAGAAGCATCCATTGCAGTCAGGGCAGTGTGTTGGCTAGGTTTTTCCTATGGATGCTTGCCAGCGGCTTATGGTCGAATTCCAATGTGAATTGTGCTCTATACACGTACCTGTCAAACCTTGTACAGCCAAACACTACCGCTAACATTTCTCATTCAATGTTTGCATATCGGCTTTCTGTCTCTGTCAATGCTTTAATCATGAATGCAACTGGTTTCCCCTCCTGTAGTGCTGCTCCTAGTCCTCTCGTGGACTCATCCTAGTTAAGTGATTTGAGGAGTTAAAGTATGTTGAGTGCACATGGATGACATCACTGATTTCAAGTGCTCAAATGCCTTCTGGTGTGATCGATGGAGTCCACTGCCACGCATTGTCCTTCCTAGTCAACGCACATAGGGTTTCTGCATTGTCAGCCAGATTTGAGATGAAGGGAGACATGTACTGTACCATCCCTAGAAACTGTTGCAACTCTCTTAAGCGGCCTGGCGCTGGAAGACTGGTAATATCTGCAATCTTTGCAGGATCTGGATGCACACCTTCTTTGTCGTAGAGACAGCCAAAAAACTTCACCTGTGGGGTCTTCACATCACATTTGTCTGCATTGAAGACAAGTCCATACTCTCATCCCACAGCCATGAGGTTATGTAGAGCTTTGTCATGCTCTGCTTCAGTCTTTCCATAGACAACTATATCATCTGCGATGCCAATCGTGCCTGGGCATTGCTCAAGGATCTGATCCACCTTCTCCTGGAATATGTCTTGAACCACTCTTATCCCAAATGGCAAACGCTTGAATCTGTACCTTCTGAAGCTTCAATAAACATGTCTGGCATCTAGCTTTGAGGACACTTAAGCACAATGTAGCTTATGGGTGATCTCCTTAAGTGTTGGGGCATTGTAATATGTCCGCTTACATGCCTTATGGAGGTATTTTGGGTCAAGGTACACTCCTAGCTGTCTGTAGCTTTTCCTGCTGAAATCAAACAAGGAAACCCAATCAGTAGGATTGGTCACCTTCTCTATGACCTCAATCAATTCCATCCTATCCAGCTCTTTCCTTTAAGTCATCTCGGAGATGGATGGGAAACTTCCTTGGAGGATGGACAACAGGTTCTGCATTATCTTCATGAGTGATGTGGTATTCGCCTGGGAATCTCCCGATACCTTGGAACCGATCTGGGTACTTATCTACCAGATCCTGTGTAGTCTTGATCATGTTTGGTCTGCATCTCTGACGCAACTCACAGTTCACTAGAACTAGATGCATCCTGACTGAACTCTGCAATCCGTATGGCAGTGTATCTACAATGAAGAAGTTATACAGTAGGCTTGCGGGTGCACTATGTGAGAGAGAGGGAGGATTGAGGAGTCCTGAAAAGGACTCCGGTAATCTTTCTTGAAGAAGTTGTTGCGGAACCACTTCCCATCTTTGTACTGGCAGGGAATATCAAACAACCATATTGTTGTATTGCTGTCTCATTGTAAGCATACAATCTGACATGTCGCAGTATTACAGCTGACTTAAGAGGATACTCCTGGTCATCTAGGAGCTCTGGAAAAACTTTCCTGAAGCACCGACGAGGCAACACATTCCCCTGTGCTCCTGTGTCCACCTTTACTCTCAAAATGTGGTTACTCAGCTTGTTCCTCATGCAAAACTTCAAAGTTGCGAAAAGCTCATCAATATAACATAGATTGACTCTATAGAGATATCATCCAACTCGCTCTGTAGATCATCATCATCTGCAGTACTGGCAAAAGGATGCAATTTTTTTTGCTGAGGTAGGGGTTCAGCTTTTACTTCGGTTCCTCCGATTTCCTTTGTCTCGTCTGGTCTGTCTGGACATAGACTGAGATCTCTGTTTACTGTCACCTGATGATCTGCACAGTTTCTTCCAGTGACCTTTCATGCCACATTTGTGACACTGTGACTTGAATGCAGTTCAATTCTTTGGTGGATGTCTCAATCCACAATGCTTGCAGGTACTGGTGTACATAATGTACCGAGGCTCTATCCAGACTGTTCAAAAGACTCATGTGTGAGTCACTAGCCTCGTGTGTCCTGGATATGATGATGCAGCTTCATCTAGCTTGAGATGCTCACACCTTTGCTGAGAGTAGGATCTTTTGTACCTCTGAGTGCTTGATCCCAGCAATCAAAACTTTGATGATCCTCTCAACAGACCCTTCAGTCTTGAAGTTACACTTTGCTAGTTTTGTGTGGCATCTTAGAACAAATTCATCAATAATCTCTGATGCCCCCTGTCTGTACCTATGGAATTCCAATCTATCAATTCAAAAAATTCTCCTGGGGCTCTAGGTGCATGGGTGGAGTATTAATGCTTTCCAAACGTTCTTGGGGGTCGTTCAGTTTTTAATTCTTCTGTCATCGTCCACGTATTGAACATCCCAAGTCCTTCAACTCCTATCCATAGTATCACGTAGGTATGCTGTTCCTCTTCAGGACACTTTTTTTTTTGAACCACAAGTTGGCAACTTGTTTAAACTCTTGCAATGGTTATGAACGGTCCGGGTTGGACCAGTCCATCCTGGGACTTGGAATAGCTCCACTAGCCATGGCAATACCCATTATTGAAACCTTAGTACGAGAACATCAGCAGTGCAAACAATTGCTTTTATAATATATATTCAAATACAAACTTTACAGGTTAAAGACAATTGCCAATGTGTGAACAAAACTTTTGTCATTCCGACTCAATATGATGATTTAGCTCATGCAACAAAATTACTGTATGCTAAGTTACTTCCATACAACAGTAGAACCACATTGATACAAATATCAATATTTGACAGGATCTAGATCCTATCTAGCATGAAATGAAAATGACAGAATTCACAGAATCAGATCACACTGTTGAAACTAGTCTTACACTTGTCTTACTCTTAGGCCTACAGACTTACAGTATAACTACAGGCTACACATGCATGAATGAATTTAAATGCATCAACTGAAGTTCATATAGATCTAGGCCTACTTCTACTAATACCAGTACTATTTTGTACTATAAATTATAGTCCATAATATCCGTGCAGCAATTCTGTTATATTACTCTGCAACAATTAATCATGACTTGTTATGGTCTAAATTTAGTCGTTTATAGTTCAAATTTAGCGTTCATGTTCAATATGCCAAGTCTTGCTCTCTTTAATAATAATAATAATAATAATATTTTAAAGTCCACTCCAAATTTTATTAAACCGAAAATGGAAATTCTTTTTGCCCATTTGATCGTGAGCCCGGCAGCCACTGAGCAGCGCCAGATCGATGTTGCTCTATCCCTTTATTTTTGAACACCAAACAAGGTAGCAGCAACTCCCATCTTTTAACGTCTTTTGGTATGACGCGGCTGGGGTTCGAACCCACTTGATCCACTTGATTCGCTGTTCTGCATAGCGTTCAAATCTTGTTCAAGATTAGATCTGAATCCTGCATGATCACCAGCATTAGCCTCTAGGCTAGGGTCTAGCGTTCCTGGGCCAGGTCAGGACTTCCAACTATATAGTCACCATGCTCACTCAATTGAGACAACGTACAGCGTCATCAAAACGTATAGTCAGTTCTCGGCGGTACGATCGCTCAAAATTGGATCACATACTCAAAACGAATTGGCTGAGCTTTATAACCGGTAGACGACAAGTTACCGTCGATACTCACTGTGCTGCAGCCCGAAAGTAGAAAACTTGTTCCATATCTGTTCAAGATATCTTGATCCATTATCATAAAATCGTAAAGGCACAGGTCCGCATCTGGCTGTCACCATGTCAAACAAGCATTAACAAGTCCAAGCAAAATTTGATGCTATAAAGTTGTAATGGTTTTATTGGGTGAATAACACCGGCAAAACAACTGGCTGGGCCGGGACCGCGATGATAAAATATGAGCGCATATAGTTGTACGCATATACATTATGACCTCAGCTACATCAATGCGTATATAAAGTAGCTCATGCATATAAGACATATTACTAGAGGCAGGGTCAGTATTATAATCAAAATGAAAGAAAACTAAAGATAAGATAGAAAATGAGTCCCATTAATTGCCTTGTGAATCAGCTTAAAAGAACTTGCCTTGCCTATATGTAAATACTATTGCCCATTATATTTCGCCTTATGCTGTATGCTTGGCTTGCGCTGTGCTGTCATTGGTTCTTAGTTTTGAAATTCATGCATATCTTGTTAGGGTTAAACTCAGGGGGGGGGGGGAGGGCTACAACTACAACTCTTCAAACCGCCCAGATAAAATTCCCTTAAAGAAAAGAGACAAAAAGGGTTAGGCAGGGTCAATATACAATCACATGATTAATAAAGATAGATGGAAAATTGATGGGTCACAATGACTTGCCTTGAGTGTGAGTCACCTTAACAGAGCCCGATCTGGCTTGCCCTTAGTCGTTTCAATCGTCTTAGGTTCCTTTATTTCTAATTCATACATATTTTGTTGATGTAAAACTCAGGGGAGGCTAAAATCCTCAATTTTAGCCGGCCAGGCTCCCTCTGGGATGCAACCCTAGATTGCATCCGTATTGCCTGTGAAGGGGGAAACCCTGATATCAAGTGGCTTCAGCTCATGATCAGCGCATACATTGCCATGCCTTACCTTTTTTTTACAGATATTGGTCAGCTCATATGTAAATGCGTCACTTGCCCATTATGCATTGCCCTGTGAAGTGTCAAGTGTCTTTGGTTTAGTTTA